CGCGGCGATATTTGGATAACCATTCGTTGTGTCACTGATGAGCTCAGCGACTCCTGATGAAAAACAGCTCACCATACACCACTTCATGGCTTTCGATCTCCCCGACTTTTAACCGTCGAGGTTTAACTTTTTCGCGAAATTCACGGAACGATGCCGTGAAGATGGAGATATCCCTCTACTCTGGCGAAGGCAAAGAACTCTTGTCGCTGTCGCGTTGGTTCCGAGAGGTTGACATATCTATCGCCTCAAGACTTCTCAAGGCTACTCAAGCGAAGGCCAACTTTCTTTTTTCCCGTCGTACCGGGAAAGACAAGGAGTAGGCGTTGGGTCAAATCTTTGTGATCGAGTATGCGTTCCCACTCTGGAATCTATCCAGCGTAATCTTTGACTCGACTTCGAGCCTTCACAAGAAGTAAGGCTGGTGCTATCAAGACGCCTATCCTTAAGACAGGGCAAGACGGCCATGCGCGACTACGTGAAGATGGCTCGGCATCTGGCGTCGTACATTATCACAACTATTATGGACATGTAGACACAGCTAAACGTCTTTGTTGGAGGTTGCGCGAGGGGCCTACTCGCTTGTCGCTGGATCGCGCGGAGCCTGCCACGTTAGAGGAGGCTTTCGCTATCGCCCTCCGTGAGGACTTTATAGTCACCTCATCCTGCACCAAGCCTTCGGTTGTAACCGCTGTCAGATTAGCGGGTCCAAAACCCACGGGGATTGATGCAATTAAGTCGTCGGGTGACCGACGACGCGTTGTGTACTACGAGGGCGACGTCCATAGCGGACGTCAGATGATCGGCTTTCGATGTCGAAAGCCAAAACATCGCGCGGCTGAAGGCCGTGCGCTAGCACCAATGTCTGTGCATGCGATGGACGCCTATCATGAGAGAGGTGTTCCGCACACACGTCCAAAAAACGGACGAGACCAGTAGATGCAAGGCGCCCTTCTGATTTGGAGGTAGGACCAGGTATATTGGTGGCGGGCTGACCTCCCGGACTATTTGTGGTGCTTGCACGGTCAAATGCCACCACTAAGAGTAGATAATCGTGCCTGATTATTGTCAGTGTGCATGTCGCTGGTGTATGACGACAACTACGAGCGATCCTAAATTCAGGAGCGACAAACAATTTCTTCCGTGAAACTTTTGTTTCGTTGCTGCCACCAAGCATTCAGGTCCACGAGGGGCCTGGCCAAGTTGTCGTCAAGCTAGCGGACGGTAAGTTACGCCGCGTATCGCGGCGAAAAGTGTCGCTCCCGTATACGTTCGACGTCTTTCGCAGCAACGATAATTTTATGGTGATTGAGATAAATCATGCATTCGATTGCATCCTGGGCGTGCCATAGTTGGCACGTTGCAAGTCCCAGATTGATTGGTTAGCAAGAGCAGTAAGATGTTGACGCACGTTCGACGTCAGCAAAGTGATGATTCATCTCTTGGTACCCTCAAGTGATTGGCCAAACGTCGTGGTCGTGGATCGTGATTCCACGACCCAGGCGGTGCACAGAGCAATCGATGGCTCTCTGTGCACCGCTTGTGCCGTTATTATACACGCAGGTTACGATGTCTCCTCGCTTTGCAGCGAGCAAATAACGCAGATGAGCAGTGCCTTTCATTCAAGGATGACGCAAACGGGCAGTGGCTCCGGTGCAAGGACAACGCGGACGAGCAGTGGCTTATGCATGAGGGAGACGCGGTCGAAAAAGGGTTCCTGCACGAGAGAGCAGTGGTCGAACCGGCGTTCCCACCTGCATCTTTTGTGGTTTAGCAAAGGCTCCCACACAAATTAAGATGAGAGCGAGTTAGAGCTCGTCACCCAGTGCGACGTGGACGAACAGGAGTCCCCCGTCAGAGCATGATGGTCAAACAGGGGTTCCTATCATTAATCACTGTAGTTGAACCGGGGTTCTCACATGGCAAATTTGTCGTAGAGCAGGGGCTTTAACACAGGGTTGCAGCGGTCGATCAGAGGCTCCTGCTACACGCGTCGACGGAAGAGTATGAGTTGCTCCCGTCACGCACTTTCGACATCCTAAATGAGGACATCCAATGTCTAAAGGGAGGTAATGGATTGGCACCTAGCTGCGGATCTCCAGCTTCGAGAATGAACTCGAAGCAATATGGGGATGCAAGCATCAAAATTACAGCGTTGGAATGCGTCCACGCTGTCGTGTACGTGGACGGGAGTCCGCAAAGGCGCCATTGCATTGAATTCAAGAGTCTACCTCGCGACGCGTCTTCGATTACGAGGCTTTTAAAGATCTCCTAGAAGAATTTTCTACGTGACCTAAAGGGAGGCACGGTAGAAAAGGTTGCTTGGTCACCACTGAGGTGGCCCTGAGCTAAACGAGGAGCACATGACGCGCCCTCGAAGCGCTGAATCATAGTCAGCGCGCGAAGAAAATTTTGTATCGCATACAAGGGGGGCTCTGTGTGCGGGCCGGTAACCCTGTCTATGAGATTGCTCGTGAGTACGCAGACATCTTTCCGGAAAAGATTCTGGCTGAACTTCCTGTCAATCGTGCCAGGGTAATAGTGCTGCGTGACCCGAAAATGGACATTGCCTCGAGACCAGGGCGAGGCCATTATTTTATTCTTTGAAGGTCGTCGAAAGGCGGGCCACGTGTATGAGATTATCTCACCACACTCGAGTCCGATCTTCTGTATGAAGAAGGCTACAGGAGGATGGCGGATAGTGCATGCGTTATACAGGTTAAAAAATGCCACAATCTTCGCGCAAACGCCCATTCCTAGGAAAGAAATGGTTTTGAATTCCATGTCGGGAAGTGTCATCTTCAGCGCCAACGCCCTGACCGATGGCTTCTAACAAATTCTGATGCAGCAGAGCGACATGTCACTCCCAGCTGTGAGCACACCAAGTGGTATGTTATAGGAGTGGCTGGCAATGCCATAAGGATTAAAGAACGCACCAGCCACTTTCAATAGCATGGTATCGCAAGTGTTAAGAACGCTTCGAGACTTTTCTCCAAGATAATTCTACGACATTTTTGTCCACAGTCGCACTGAGGGCAACCTCAATCATGTCCAAGTACATCTTCAACACGTGAAACGGGCGTTTCAAGTCATGCTAGACAACAAGTTGTATGAAAACTTGAAGATGTGCGTATTCTGTGCTCCGGAGATTCCGTTAGCGGAGATAAGGTTAGTCTAAAATATGATTTTGTTCTATGTGGCTGTGGTCCTATAAAAGATGGTTGTAGTACGTAGACCCTTAAAATGTTTTTGATAAGAAATGGGCTGTGGTACAAATACCAGAAAAGTGGTTCTTAAAATACTTTATTGATCTAACTTGGGCTGTGGCACATTTAAAATCAAGATGTGGTGCTTATAAAGGCTCACTTATAACACTCTGTAATTTTAAACAACACACAAAACTGCACTCTGCTCTGCTTCATTTAACCGACATATTTAATCCTGCCTTAAAACGATAAAGATGCGCGTTAATTTGATAACAACTTCCGCTCGTAATTCCGTCTTGTATTCTATGTAAATTGCTATTCTAACGTCAAACCTCCGCAAAAAATAGAAACACCGTGGCTCCTTCCCTCTAGCAACAACAAAAGGAAAAGTCCTTCATGTTGTCGAAGAAGCACTTTAGCCAGAGAGTGGAAAGCGAATGTGTTTATAAGATTACTAAATCGCGAACTGGTGATAACCACTGCTACTGTGCGATTGGAAAGTCTTGTAGGTTTGGGGTAGCAAAACATTTTTCGAATTGAGAATGCATTCACCTTGCTATTTACCATCAAGTTCTCAACTGCCTTTTCATTACTTCATACCAGTGGCTTGCACTGTGTCACAAATACGCAAGTGCAGAATTCTAAAATTGATTGTATAGAGGTAATAGAGTATAAGAGTTAAAAGATGAAAGGAAGGGCGAATGAACGTCGTGCCGGACACTATCTTACAATGTCTGCACTATCGTGACTTATTTTATATAAGCATAATGGTATTGTAGTTAATGGTTTAATAAACGGAGAGATATTACACATATATTGACTAACTAAAATTGGCCGTTCTGAATGTCTACATAAATTAAAGAAAAGGGAATCATTTCAGCCAACAAGTGGGTGAGTCCATCAAAACCTTTTATCTATTCGGCCAAAATAATCTATGAATTACAAACCGACGACAACTTTCAGGAAAGCGTGTCGGCCGAGACTAAAAGTAGAACAGGGAGTGCTGTGTAATAGAAGGGTGTTGTACAAATGATGATACCCATACCTTTTAAAATTGTTTTTTCACTCCTCCGTTTTTAAATTGTCTTGGTATGCAAAAGTAAATGTAAATCCTGGCGGCTAGATGACAAGACGAAACAGTTGCCATTTATCCAAAGGTCTGAGCTGCCAGGAAGACGGGGTCTTCGACGAACCTGCCGTAACTATCTACAGTCACGAATTTTATGGTCAGCCGTCTGAGTTACGACATATCTCCCGGATGAAGTGCTAGAAGCAAACTAGTTGTTCCAACTCTTACGTACGATGGATGCGAGCTTTAACCTTTGTGATCCGACCAAGGATTAAAGATCTTTCTTAACTTGTGTACTTGCGAGCTGGACAAGGATACTTCGATGTCATGCAGAACAAGTCCTACATTGCCTGAGAACGTTGGTTGGACAAAAGATACGCTGGTTTCGCAATTGATGTGAGCCCGCAAGTGGCATCGACGATGTGGCATGCACAAAGCGCTTTTGCTCAGGACGTACTGCATACGCTGAATGATGCTTGCAAAAATGCGAGATGAGACGGTGCACTACTGGAATCCTGCAGCAACTATGTCTTGGTGCCCGCAAATGGAAACAACGATGGAAAGGTGAGCCCGCGTCCGCTCCCACACGTACACCAGCATGTTGGCAATATAACGTATATCACATGCATCAAGACTTTCGTCGCAACCAGAAATGCGGTACATACGTCGTCTAGACGATCCTGTAGCAACACCCAGAGCATCGCAGCTGTTGGCTTCGTGGCTGCCACTCAGTCTTCCAGCTTCAGCAGATCCAGTATGACGCCAATTTTGCTCTTGTACTCCAGATGTCCTCCAATGATCTCTGACAAATTCACATTTTCGATACCAGCGATATCGAGAGGCGCAATGCCCGCCGAATTCAGAGCCCATCCCTGGTAGCGGTACATGAGACCCAGCATCCAATCCTTTTCCGAGTACCCATTAATTAGCCTTCCGGAGACTACGCGACGAGCGCTCATCCATTCGTTGCGTGCCATATGAAGAGGCGATCCAAGCAAGACAGCGTTCTCTACAATCCCACACGATTCGTTAACCATATCTTCATTTGCCAGTTCTTTCAAGCAGGAAAAAATCAGCCTAGCACCCATGCCATATCCAACCAGTGTAACAGGACGCAAACCTTGCTCGCGCTTACGCAGCGCATCCGCTAGCAATTTACCAGAGCTGTCTGCAGCGTTCATAGTTACTGTCCAACTATTGTCAATGATATCAGCCAGTCGAAATATCGCCCGTGGAATCGCCACGGCTGCAAACAATGCTGCCAGCGCAGTGTATTTGACAATCTCTGTCGTCGCATATACTGAAACTTGCTCAGCTGCAAATGTACGCATGCATCTACCAAACCGTCGAAGTCCTGCTTCTTCCCAGACAAGGCAGTACTGGTCACCATGAGGGAAACGGTCGTTCCATCGCCATGCTTGAAGCGGATTGAGCTTTGTTCCTCGCTCCCACGCAGATGGACTAGCGTTGCTTGCTGCTGTGCTCTTCAAACTAGGAGAACAAGCTTTTGGGTCGCTGATGTGGTTCGCTAAGTTACCACCACGCGCGTCGGTGTCTGTGTGTACTGTCCTCGACAAACATGAAGCATGACATGGATCACTCGTCTCAGCAAGCACCTCGTCTTCTCGACCTCGACACTGGCCCACGACTCGATCCACCTGATCCACCTGCTTTGGCTTTCTTTGAACACACGACGCACTCAAGCCCTCGCTAGCATCCCCCCACGCTCGACGGAATCCGTTTGTCGGCGGGTCATCTTCGTCCAGCCACCCCGACACGCAAATGTAGACGTTCATGCCATGCCCTGCCGACACGAGATCGAAGCCAACATCATGAACGCTTTTCGTCCTTTTCTCAGTCTTCATACCCATCACTCCCGCTCCAGCTGTCCCAAAGAGCACTGTCGTTGCTGTGACGCCGGTTGCAGACCCCACAACAGCGCCGATCGTCACGCCTGCTCCTCCCAGCGCTGTCAAACTTGCCGCGATCGCAGGAGCAGCAAGACCTCCTGTCACTGCAAGTAAAGCGCCACCAGTCACAGATGCTGCACCAATTGCCGCATGGCGTTTCCAGTCCCAACCTTTTGGTTTTGTTCCTTCTTTCTTAACCAGCAGCGTGGCAGTAGCTTCTGCGTACAACGTCTGGCCAATCTTCTCCTCTTCCTGGGTCACGTCTGCCCACTGCAAGTCCATTGCCAGCACGAGTCTCCTCATCAATGTTCTGGCCCGAGCATCGTAACCCACGCTCTTGATCGTAACCCCCAGCAGCCTCTTGATTACTTGAAGTCGAAAGAAGCGCACGTGGGACTCGTCCAGTGCGTCACTTGTAACCGAATTGTTCAATTGCTTCCTTGCTTCTGATTGGTCTTTTTTGGGCGTCGTCAGTTTCGTCCACGCTCGAGAACATCGAGTCGTGTCTGTGGCATTTTTAGGCATCACTTGAGCCAGAAAAGGGGCGGGGTCAAAGTCGTCTACGAAAGGAGATGCACCACGTGACGGTATGTGCATCTTTTCAGCCAATTGCAACTGTCTCGACATTAAAATGGGTAAATAGGCCTCGGTTTGGCTACTAGAAAGCCTCAAAAAATGCTCCACCAGTAGCTTCAGGTACGTTCGCGACCATAATATGTCAATCGAGCCATCGGAGACAGCAGGTAGAAGACAAGCACATAAACCTGCGACACCGCGTTTCTGACTCTCCGAAAGGAAGTCCAGAGCGTCTTCTGCTGATTGCATGCTGTACCGAGATAAAGGATGAGCAAAAGGTGCTAGTGATGCACCCTCCAAAGATGAAATTGACCTTTTCTAAGCGCTCGTTGGTGCAATGCGGGCGATGCTATTGGTTATATTTATGTCGCAGATGTGGTAGTTGATACTTCAATAAGAGGTTACGTCCTAGAGATATTGAAGCGTCGCATGGTGCTGTTGCACTTGTGTAGAGTCGGTCTAGCAGTCCAGACGAAGCACTGGAGTGTCGAGAGGGTCCGTAACGTAACATGTATCAATTAACTACCATTGTCATAGGAAGGTAATGGTCATTGCGCTTTCCAAACGATATATAGTGGGTTAGGTCGTTCACTTTTGTCCAGTTGCTTGGCAAGCTGAATGCGATACCAAGTTTGGACATACTTCCGATTTAGGCCACGACACGAAAAGATACTGGTCCATCAGGCTCCTCCTTGGTTGTAGTCCCCGGCGCCAATCTAGAAGGCTCGGCTCTAAATTTAAAGACAGCGCTCCACCACTGGTAGAAACTCAAACGACTGACGATTCAAATTTCCACCTGAATACATGATGCACAAGATTGATACGCAATGTCCCCTTTTTAAAGCGCTTCCCTTGGAAAGTAGAACCTGTAGCCATCCGTTCACCTCAATCGGTGTCCATAACAACCTGTCTAGGCTTATCGATCATGCACACTCGCCCACTAAACGGCGGCGTCGATTACTTCCTTCTCCATTTTGACTTAGGACCATGCGGTGCAAGCATGTGCATGTGCTATTTGTCACACAATAAAATAAAAAATTAAACGCAGAAAGGGTCCATAGACAGCCTTCGTCCTTGCTACAGCAACAACACTGCTGGAATCCGTTAGGTTTAAATAGATGGATAGTTGTCCACCCAGTCCCATCTGAGAAGGTATACGGGCAATTGAGTCATCCGGGAAAGTTATGATAGAAAGGTTTACAGTGCTTTTAGTTACGGTGTGCGTAGTTGCATGCAGATAGAATGTGTCAACTGTCGATACTAGCAAGTCTTGCTGCTTGCTGGATCAGTTGGCATGTATACAGGGAAAAAGAAGAGATGACAGAAAATTTCCGAGCGGTTTCGGTGAGTAACTCTTATGCATTCATAATAGGGTTAGAAGCCCAAATATGAGGGGTCTTGCAGGCAGCATCCGACCGAGAGTTAAAGTGATTGAGCAGAGAGGGCTTCCTAAGAACTGAAACGGGGAATACTGGGCTCTTTATAAGCATATCATGATTGCAGCTTTCGATGATGAGGAGCTGGACGCGATTGCAAGAGATGGAGTCAAGCGCTCAACGCTGCAGACCGATAACACGAGAAATAACTACGATCAGCTGCAGATAAACCTGAAGCGACGAACATTAAGTTCCATGTAGGCTGACTTGGCTCCAGGTGTTTATAGCATGGGTACTAAAACGAAAATGTGGACACACATTGTAAGTTACTTTGATGGAAAGCAGAACGGCAAGACAAAGTTCATCAATACGAGCATCACGTACGACAAGCTGCAGCGTGCAAGGTCCCAGTCTGGCTCAGACATTGAAGGACTTTCGGATAACATGTTCAACCTGTGGGAGCCCTTTGAGACCTTTGGTGCTACGGTCGATGACTTTCAGATGAGCCGGTTTTAAATCAACTGTCTGTCACAGACAAACCGCTTTCAAAAGCTTAAAAGTCAAGTCGAGATGTCTTGGATCACGCAGATACCCCGAAGTAACTCCGCGACATGGTTGTGATTCTTGATTGTGCATAGCGTGCAGATGCTGTGACCGCGTATTAGGGCGGCACAACTAAGAAGGTTGATGGCACGCCAGCAAGTACTTGCGAAAGGTTGCAGAAGAATGAAAGCATGCAGAAAGCACGGAGGTGCTTCATCCGCACCGGGGCTGGGCATCTGCGTAGAAATTGTCGCCAGAGAGAAGAAAAGTCCGAGCCAAAATACAACAGACCTTCAACAAGTACCAAGCGACAAGCTAAAAGAAGTAAAGAGAATTGCGCTATGCTAGAATGCCAAGAGAGTGGTTCAATTTACGAAGGTGTCGTCGTAGCGATTGCTGAAGAAAAAGATGCTAGGGGTGAACAGGACGAGACAGAAGTACAAATTTCTGGAAGTCTACCAGAAATGTTGATCACCGAGCACAAAAATGAAGAGCGAAAGAAGATGTATCGACACCCGCACGGTACCTGGATAGCGCGATAAGCACGCAAGTTGTCTGTGATCACCTGTTTTTTAGCAGTTTGAAAGCTGCAATCGCAAAGCAGCGAATTATCGCTGGGTTTTCGTTTGTGTTTGACAAAGCTAAAGATCATCGGATCCGCGGGGCTTTACAAAAGAGTAAAAGAAGACATCCTAAGACAAACAGAGCTGACAGTTGTTTCATGCGTCGATGGAACGCAACTGACTTTAGTTTCGCATTCTTAGCTCGAAAAGCAAGGATTTGAAGTGGAATACCGACGTAGATGAAGGGCATTCAAAATTAGGCGGAAGTTCGTTTGGCTGTGATCGTGCAAAATAACAACGATGTCACGCTCGTGCTGCGCATGGCTAGAGAGGGCGGCGAACACAAAGAGGGAAATTAGACACAAGTAAAACAAGATGCAGAAAGGTTAAGTTTTATAGTAAAAGCTGATGGTATTGATGATGTACAGAAATGGTAAGATTGTCTTGGGCATGTGGGACCAAGCCACTGCAAACATATGGTTGACCACAGTCTTGTGAAGGGCATATGGTTAGAGCATTGCACATTTTGCGATTGTTAATATAACGGGGCACCCTGAAGCTTGTACTGGTGACAGTACAAGCTACTTATTCTGATAACAGAATAAGGCGGTGCCTCGTAACTTCACGTACACTCGTACGTGCAGAGGAAGACGGTAAGAAGAAGCGAGTACTTGGTTAGAGTAAAAAGTAGAACTGTATTTATAATAGTTAATGTCTGCAATAAATCACTATTTATCTTCATCTAACTATGTCTAAATACAAATGTGTAAATCAGTTATCTGCTCACCACTCATTGCGTGCGTCTGTCGTGGCGCGTCTTCGTTGGTTGATATAATGGCCTATATCAACCAATTAGGAACTACTTGGAAGTGCTACAGAATATTGTCCTTATGACAATATTCTGAGAATATAACTCTTATAGTTATATTCTATTAACAATTTCTTATAAATTGTTAGGTAACGATTCACCCCGTTACATCACCCCCCCCTTAACCATCAGTCACTTTAGTGACTGATTGACTAAATGGATACTCGTCCCAAATCATTTGGGACGGGGTTTGCACTTGTTGGTCCGCGTCCACTTTCCAACATCTCATCGCATGGTAAACAAGCCCATGCGATGCGCGAGCAAGGCCGCCGAGAGCGCGTCTGCACGTCTCTGTGCGGACGCCGAAGCAGAAACTAAAGCAACTGATATCCCATCGGTTGCTGAATCGACTCAGCCTGTATCACCTGGTGATGCAGGCGCTGGTCATGAAGACACTCGTGTCTTCACAGAGTACGAGCTCGGTGTCTCGTACTCTCCTGATACGGATGACGGATCCGTATCGACGGCAATTGAATCCAAGCCGCCTGCCAAGCGTGGCATGGACAATGCTTTGCGTCGCAGCATCTTTGGTTCATCTGATGAGTCAGATGAACCATCGCCGAAGCGAAGGCGCTCGAGGTCGCGAGACTCGGGCGCTAATAGTGGTGTCGGTTCTCCTATGGACACCACTTCACAGCGAGGTGCCAGTACTTCTGTCGGCACGTCGCAGGAAGAGCGGGACCGCAATGTGTTGCGTCTTGCTCCAGAAAAGAAGGCATGGATGCCTCCTAAATCTGTCATGGATCACTTGTCGGCGACGACGAGTGATCGTTATCGAACACGATTGTTCGATTCGTCAAGGATCCATCACCTTGACCCCAGTGCGAAAAAACATCGCGCTGAGAATGAGTTCTTCATCGATGCTTTCTTCAGACATCGATGGTACAGTGGGAATCACAAACGTGATGGTCCCTCACTACTTCAGGCGTGGAACGCCTACATCCATAATCTCGAGGATGTAGGTCGTGACGCTTGGAACGACAAACTTATCAAAGCTCGTGATAAGTTTGAAAAGCGAACCCCGACAGGTGCACGCTACAAGCTGCATCGTCTGTCAAGGGAGAAAGGATTACCCTGCCTCTCTTGGGGAGACTCGTGCCCATGTTGTGTGAACAACTCTGCACGAGCACCTAAGGAGGCTTACCTCCTTACCAGCCCGTGGTGGCGCGTACGTGTCTCTACTGAGATGTACGAAGGGATTGACAACCTGAAATCCCTTTACGACCGTGCCGGGAAGACTTTCTCCGGCGGTCCTTCTGCGGCACAGGATGTCGCGTCGTACTGCTCGACCAGACCCAGTACGTCAACCATCAATTGGGAGCGGGGCTCCCAAGAATCCCAGGACGGGGATAGCCGCGCCACCGGACGAGGTAACTCGTCCGACGTCCGTTCACGTCGCGGTGGTTCAACAGCTGCTCAACTAGATAGCGCTGGCCACCGCGAGAGTCCTCTAATGGAGGTGGAGGAGGAGGAAAGACGCCTCCACACGATCATGTGGATCGGTGTGTTCCCGAGAGTTTTGATCGCGTAACGCAAGGGTTACGCGACGATCTCGAGCATGAGCGGAATAGGCGTCTCCAGATGGTGGACACTGCCTTGAAGCATCGAGCTGAGTTTGCCTTTGCTCAGCTTGAGAACGAGAGATCTCTGACATCTTTCGTGACGAGCTAAGGGTAGCTCGTGGGATTGTTGATCGGTCTCGGGCTGAGATAACTGCTCTTCAGACCCTTGTTGATGCCCACCATCGGGAGCACAAGGCTCTCTGCGAGATGCTTGAGCGCAAGGGCGTTCTTCATCGGAAGAAGCAGCGTACTGATGGTACGGCTTAAGCCGACCAACGTAAAACGTGGGATGCGTTCGCATCTTACGTGGTAACTCGATCGTGTATGCATTGCCTAGGCGGTGCAATACACGAAATGGGCCAATGTACTTGGGTAGTAGTTTACTGCTACCCAAGTTAGTCACTACATGCTTTGGTAGATTAACCGTAGACAGTAGGACTAAGTCACCTTTATTAAATAAAAGAGTGTTTGCCCTTCCATTCTTGTCAGCGTTTTGCTTTTGCTTATCCACCGCTTCGGCGATGGAGTCTTGCACAAAACGGACTACCGTTTCACGAGCCAGTATGAACTCATCTGATGACTCGTTAGCTTCAGTGTGCTGTGAGCGCACTGCAGCGACAACAACCTTTTCTTCAGTGAGGGCTTCCGCACTCTCACTGGGATCATTGTCTTCAGTGAGGGCTTCCGCACTCTCACTGGCATCATCTTCTTCGATATCGATGTTATCGATATCGGCATCAAACGCAATGACTTCTTCGTCAGAGCGTGATGAGCGTGAACCAAATCGGTTTTGCTCGCGCGAGTCCCTCCCCCTTAAACCAGAGTTACACTCTAGTAAGGTGGGTACACGCGGATGGCGCAAGCCATTCACGTAAAACGGTGTATGTGTCGTGGACGCATGCACCGAGTTGTTGATGGCAAACTCTACCATCGGCAAAAACTCACTCCAACTCTTAAAGGAGTGTACGTATCCTCGAAGTATCTCTTCAAGGACACGATTGGCACGTTCCGTCTGACCATCTGACTCTGGATGATCAGATGTTGACATCTTCAAGCGCGTTCCGAGTGATTTGAACACGGAACGCCAGAAATCAGCAGTGAATCGTGGATCGCTGTCTGATACGAGTTCACGGGGCAACCCATGAAGTCGGAAGATGGTGTCAATAAAGACACAAGCACAGCCACTTGCCGTGATTGTCTCTGGTACAGCCACAAGGTGTACCATTTTGCTGAATCGGTCAACAAATACGAGAATACCCGTATTCCCGCGTGCGTCTTTGGGTAACCCGAAGACGAAATCCATTGAGATGGATTCCCAGCACTCAGCCGGAACCGGTAGAGGCTGTAAAGGTGCACGCAGTGAAGGACTTGACTTCACTCGTTGACAGACTTCGCATGCGCGAACATACTTTCGCACAAAAACTGATACTGGCGGGGCCAGTAAAAGTCTCGACTTACCGTGAGATATGTTTTCTCTCGGCCACGATGTCCTCCTATAGGAGCATCGTGATACTCGAACATGATCCGCAAACGCAGATCAATATCATCTGGAATGACAACACGTGGTGTATCACCAGAAACGGCTGTATAGTACAGTAAACCGTTACGAGTAGTGTATCGATCTGATGCAGATCGATACGCAGACGACAATCGTTTCAACGATTCTCGAGATGGTTGGGAGAGATGTGACAACAACTTCACTATCTCACCATCTTGGGCGTATGCCCGCCTCACATCATCATACAACGTTGTAGATGGAACTGAGGACGTCATAACCGCAACAGTGACTGTCTCACTGTTGGGTTTCGCGACTGTTTCAAACTCGGGACGACGTGAGAGTGCATCAGCGACGACATTAAGTCGTCCTGGTTTGTACTCGACCGTAAAGTTGTATTCTGCAAAGAATGACAACCACCGCGCCATTCGTTGTGAAAGGTGCGGGCTGTTCACTGCCGTGCGTAAGGACGCATGGTCAGTGTA